CTGCCAGAACTGGCCCTCTGATGGCGCAGCGGCCTGTCCGCCACCTCCTCTGGCTCCTCCGCCCCACCCACAGAGGAGAGGCCCACCCTGCCGGCTCTCCCCCCTCAGCCCTGTCACCTCCTGACTCCGCACTGTCCTTGCTGGTTGTTTTCTCCACAGGCCCGGGCTTCACCAGCTCCCAGCACCTGCAGCAGAGCACAGGAACAGGTCTGTGGGGCGGGGGCTCTCCTGCGCTCCCTTCCTCCCGCATCACACGCTCCTCAGTGCAGCGTGGTGGCGACCTCCACGCAGAGCTGCCCAGGGACCAGGCCAGACACCAGGCTCACCCTCCCGCCACCCGCGTTTGTTCTGCCCACGGCGTGCTTCACAGCCGCTCGTTCCGCTCACTCTGCACTGTGAGCAGCTCTGAACTGTCACCTAAATGCCGCAAGCAGGCAGACTGTGCAAGCTCGGTCAGGGCGCCACGGCGGACACCTCCTTGACTCACTGAACCACCGCCCCAGGCTCCCTCCAGCTGCGCTCCCACTGGAGGGGAGCCGACCCCTGTTAATTTTTCCAGAACAAAAGGGGATTCAGCCATCAGAGAGCTGCAGAGACCCACTCACCTGCGGGACGTGGGGAGGCCGAGTCCGAGCGTGCACCCACACCCCCCCAGGCAGGCGCAGGCACAAGCCCCCGTGGCAGCAGGGACCCCCACAGCTCCAGCTGACACCAAGCCCTGCCTCAGCTCTCGTTACTAGATCAAGTAGAAGCACCCCCGATGGCACCCCAGTCCTGCCCCCCTCCTTCCCAACTCTTCCTCCTCCACCAAGAACCCCTGCATACCCCTGCCATCGCCCCCAACTACTCCTGCCCTGAGGCTTTGCAAGCCCATGTCACCCCTCCTCCCCTGGCACCAAGATGCCACTGGATACACCCTCACCTGTGAGCCCTTCCCCAGCTCCCCGAGGCCTGGCCTCCTCGTCCAGCCCCCAGTGCCCAGGCTGAGTGGCCGCAGCAGTGGTGAGCTGGTGATGCTTAACCAGCTCTCTGGGGAGGGGACCTGGGCTGGTACACTCCCACCACAGCGTGAATGCCCCCAGCAGGCCCATGCAGAGCTGGCGGCGACACCACTGACAGCAGAGTGGGCAGGCGCTCGGTGGGGTCACCGCCACCACACGGGTGTGCGATTAGTGGCAGGCAGTGAGCCTGGGCCCGCATCTCCTGATGCACCTGGCCAGCTGCTCGGGCATGGCACTGTCGTCAGAACAGCTAACTAGCTCGCGTTATGGGCTGACGTCTCCCCGTCATGGGCCGCCCACCCTTCAGAACGACTTATTAGGAGACAGGGACTTCGAGCAGGTGATTCACACTGAGGTCCCGGGGGTGGCCTGACCCAGCGGGCTGCTGTCCTCGAGATACTAGGAAGCGCAGTCTGATGGCAGGGGGCCGGTGCATGCTGGGAAGGCAGGGATGTGGCCTGACGCGGCACCCAGGGCTCCCAGTGGACAATCTCATGCACACACCCTCAGGAAAATGAAACTGAAGCCAGTCCACCGAAGTTCAACCCAACCATGACCACCAAGATGCCTCAGGACCACTTATAACCAGTTCTGCCCTCCCTGACCACGGCCAGCACCCACCGGTGCCCCTCCCAGGATGTGGGCACCTCCTCAGGTATTGTTTTCTGGCACTGAGCACAGGGTGGGGTTGGGGGTCTAGGGGCTGTCCAAGGTGCTGGAATGTGGACTTCCTGCCACTGTCATGAGCCAGCGTTCCTGGTGGATTTTCACTTAGCTCAGCACAGCACGCACAGGTAGGCAGGGCCCACCCAGACCCTTCCAGATCTAGCTCTGACCCTGGCCTGCCCTCCCGCAGCATGTGGGCTGGGGGGAGGGGTGTTTGTGGTAATGTTCGCTGAATAGGGAGAAGGAATGAGGTCCTGCCAGCCAGGTTAGATTCTCAAGCCAGTGGGCAGGGCATAGTGGTTAATGCCAAACTTCCTTGCTATGTGGAGGAAAAGCTGAGCAGGAAATCCATTCTCCCTGAGGCCAACTTCACCTCCTTGCTGCCTCCAACATTCTAAGTGATATGAGCGATAAAGCCCTTTTCCGCCAACATCGATGTCAAGCTTCCTGAACATGCCAAATCAAAACTAGGGGTGACACTGCCAAGCAAGGGGTCCCAAGCAGGGCATCAGAGGGGCTGGGATGGGTAGCAGAGCTGTGTGCAGGATACGGTCCTAACAGTCATGATGGTCACAGGGCTTGACATAACCCAAGGCCGTGCACCCTGAGTGGGTAACGGCATGATGTAGATTAACCCCCAATAAAGCTGCCTTTAAAACACACCAGGAACTAGTCATGTAGTTCTCAGGAATTCTCTAGAAAGGGTCTATGAACCACATACCTGCATTGACCACAGGGCTCCCAGGTGTGGAATGCAGTCCAGCATCTGAAACCTTCCCACAGAGCACAAGGAGCCAAGCCAGGCTGGCATGGATGCCCACCCTCCCCAGAGGTGCTGGCACAGGTCCTGGGAGGCAGCAGGAGGCTGCAGCCCAGCACGGACAGAAAGCTAGAGGCAGACCCCCCCAGGTGGCTGCTGCCCCAGGGACTTCCCAGAAAACTGGACTCCCCATCTTCCTCCCAGGAGGTGGTGACTGTCCCCAAGCAGCCTAGGGTTCCCACCAGCTGGGTGTCTCTGGGAAGAACACAGAACCAAGCTGCACAGCAGTCCTGTGGGCCCAAACTGGGCTGCTGAGGTGATCACATGGGCCAGGACCACTAGGCTCCCGGGGGGCAAGGACAGAGGACACTCCCGAGACCCAACTGAGCCCATCTTGTAGAAGCATATGGCACGGGGCCAGTGTGCCCAGGGGACCAGGGCCTTCCCATCATCCCATTGATGACATCATCTTTGCCCAGGGTGCAGTGAGAACAGTGCCGATGGGACTGGTGGGACTCCTGGCCAAGCTGGCTGAGCTCAGGAGCCCATGCTCTGTCTAGGGTCGCCTCAGGCCGTCCCCTAAACTCTGAGACTGGGGCAAGCAGCTCACCCAGCCCAAACCAACAGTCCTAGACCTGGCTCTGGTGAACTGGGCCTTCTCAAGGCCTATCCACTGCTGAAGAATGCTGTGAAAGGCAAGTGAGGCTTCTGGGTCATTGGTCAGCCCTGCAGGGGCTGATTTCCTCACCTCACACATTCTCTGCTAACAGCTGGTCCCCAGCAGCCCCCGCTTGTTTGAAACCAAGTAGCAGCGGAGCCCACTTCTGGAGCTCATTCTGCAAACCGCCAGGACGCCACCTGGCCCATGCAGACCCAGGCCCCAGCCAGTGGTCCATCTGGGCCCGAGGAGATGACCATCTTCTGCCTAGATGTCTGTGCTCCCTAGGCGCCTGCCCCGGAAGTGATAATGAACAGGTGAACTCAGGTGTTTGTGAAACACCTGGTGTTTGTTGAGTTGCAATGCAAATTTCATGGGGAGAACTTTATTTCAATGTTAGGGTTTGTAATTTCCAGTCTTACACTCAGACTGGTTTCTTTATACAGACAGGAAATGGAGTCCCAAAGGTCAAATCTACAGGACAGGGTCAGTGGCAGCAGCCCCCGGTCTGCTTCCAACCCCCACCAGCAGCCCAAGCCAGAAAAAGCCGTTTATTCGGTTTCAGGCTGCGTGGTGCAGGGCCACATCACCTGGACTAAGCTCAGGTTAACAGTCACTGAAGACATACAAGAGGGTCCCAGGTTACAGAAACTGGAAAGCTGACCATTTATACAGTGACAAGGAAAATTTCTACAAAACGGGCCGCGTCTCCAACACACGTGGCAGCGTGCAGCCGAGGAATCCACGCAGGCCAGGCCCTGTCCTCTTCCGTGTCCCCACCTGGCCACTTGGACGGGACAGGCGACTGATTCAGTCAGACTAAGCCTGCCGAGCAGATCTCTCAGCCTGTATTCTGCTCACTACCTTTTAGCAAATTTCAGGACTCTGCTAGGTGATGTGAGGTGCAGAGAACATGAAAAGCAACCGCACCCAACATCTAAACAACCCCAACGCCGGCATCAGCGGGCAGCATTTCAGAGTATAGATAAACTCAGTAATAATGTTTGTTAACTCAAAGTAAAAGCATTTACACAAGTATTAAGAGATTAAATAGCACCTACTCACAGGATGAAAAGAACATACCAACATTTTTTGCAAAGTCGGTTTCAAGACCACGAATAGGATCAAGATCGCAGGTGACTTGAAAGTCAGCTCGCAGTGGATTGATTCTGACCTCAGCGCCCACAGAGCGTAAGGCGCTGTGCTGACCAGAAGGCGGGAAAGCAGGGCGGGAGGAGTAGCCCGCGTCAGTCCTGGTGTAGGCTGGAGCCAGGAGCCCTGCACTATCCGGGCCTGCCCACACCCACACTCCACGTGGCACAGCCTGCCTAGTGCCTACATGTGCAGAGGGCTGACTGCGAGGTGCTGAAAGCACACCTTGACGTGTGAATGATCCCAACTAACACACTTAACATTCGCCTCACTTGTTTGTTAACCTCGTGCTGTAGGTTCTCACTGGTGCGCGCCAGGATACTTGGTATGTGATGGAGAAACCAGCTCTCGCCAAGGGACCAGTGCCCACCTCAGAGTGCAGACTGGGAAGTGCCAGTTTCACACACACCCCAGCGAGTGAACTCAGTCTGCCCTGACGCGGGGGCAGCGGTGGTGACTGAGCAGCCAGTTCTCAGAGCCACTTGCCTGTGGTGGCCGTGCACTTGGAAGGCAAGGTCGCAGGTCAGGAGGCAGGTCACATGCAGCTAGCTACGTGGGCTGGAGCCTTCCTGAGTCCAAGCAGTTTTTGTCTATGTTTTCGTTCTAGGCGAATCCTTTAAAATTACCGGTAGGGTTGGCTGGGGTAGCTAGACCCAGGCCTCAAGACCCCACTAGTGAACACTGCCCAGTTCATAAACTAGAGGTGCAGCTACTTCAATACTTCAAGTTGCTGATCTTTTGGGGGTTTTTTGTTTTTGTTTTGTTTTTTTTTTTTTTTGGATAAAGTCAGTATGGACACACCTGCAGGTCATCAGAAGTCAGCATCAAGGGTGAAAGAATTCTCTGTTGAACTTGACATCACGCCCATCCTCTGATACTCGCCTACCCTCTTTTCGAAGAAGTTGGTTTTTCCTTCCAGTGAAATATTCTCCATAAAGTCAAATGGATTTTCTACTCTGAAAATCTGAAAAGGTTCACAGCAAAATAAAAATGCGGAACACCCATTTCAAAAGAACCAGAAGAACATGGGCAACACTTTACCTTGCTAAAGCCCAGCTCCAGCATCAGCCTGTCAGCCACGAACTCGATGTACTGCTTCATTAAGATGCAGTTCATGCCGATGAGGTTCACCGGCAGGGCCTCGGTGAGGAACTCCTAGGGACAGCGCGGGGTCCCTCAGTGAGACCAAGGACCAGGTTTCCCTCCCTGCCCCTCCCCTGCCAGCACAAGACTCTGCTGCCCACCTGCTCTATCCTCACGGCGTTGGTGATGATTTCTTTCACCCTGTGCTCCGAAGGCTTGTGCACCAGATGCTTGAACATCAGGCAGGCAAAGTCACAATGCAAGCCCTAGAGGAGGGGTTTAAGGTCACCATGAAGCCACAAGGCCCGTCCAAACGGTGCAAGGAGGGATGACCTTTCTGCACGCTGCTGTCCACCTGGCTCAGCCACGCCAGCACCACACGCTGTCACCAGGTGGGCTCAGGGCCGCCCACAGTCCTCCATGCAGCCAGCTGCCCGCAGCGGGCAGGTTTGGCCCTCCCTGCTGTCAAGAGGACGGGGCAGGGAGAGGACTCTGCCACTGCTCAAACAGTGAAGGTGAAGTTCAGGAACTAGGCTAGCAAAGATTTTCGGTGTCCAGCCTCAAGCCAGGCAATCAGCAGAGCAATTTCAAGAAGTTCATGCGAGAATAGTCCTGACAGCCCCACACAGGAAGGTTCAGGTGAGGGGAGCTCACTGGGCTTCAAAGTGGGGGTGAGGAGGGAGTGTGCTCCCTTCCTTTCAAATGTGACTTAAGCTGAAACATCAGAGCACCCAGACACCTTCACCTTCCTTTCTGCGGCTATGATCTGAGCGCTTTAAAGATGTACATCAAGGGACTCTCTTTCCATGAGGCGCTGCAACTACTTTTGGAGTACATTCAGTAAGAGCACACAGAATACCAGGCGAAAGCACCAGTCATGCGTGACCCACATGTACAAATGGGGAACACTGAGAATAAAGTAATTCCAGTGACTTCCGTCAAATAGTAGGGACTTCACACGTGGACACATGGAGACCCAGTATATCGGGGTCCTTTCAGTGGATATAACAGGCATGTAGTGTGTTCAGGGAGCACAGTAACCCGTCCTTTAAGCAACTTACCTCATCTCTGCTAATAAGTTCATTGGAAAATGTGAGGCCAGGCATCAACCCGCGTTTCTTGAGCCAGAAAATGGACGCAAAAGAACCAGAGAAGAAGATTCCTTCCACTGCCGCGAAGGCCACCACCCGCTCTCCTAGTCAAGAGAACACCAGAGTATCTCGTAACTCCAGATCCCCACAAGAGCCAACAAGCCAGCAGTGCTGCTTAGACCGTGAGGCTGGAAGTAAACAGAGCCAAGTCTCACCATAGGTGGCCTCTTTGTCGCCAATCCACCGCAAGGCCCAGTCTGCCTTCTTCTTCACACAAGGCATTGTCTCGATGGCGTTGAAAAGGAACTCCCTAGTGGGCGGAGAGCGCAGCTGTTACAGCCAGGACTGCCTGCCACAAGCGTCCCCACATTGAGCTCTGGGGCCCAGGCCAAACTGGGACTCAAGCGGAAATGCTTGGTATTGGTCTACTTTTCCTCCTGTTTTTCAAATCGCAACCTTCATTTGGTTAACACAAATGCAGACACAGCCCTGACTCCATTAACTAGGGGGAAGCTTGAGAGGTACAAAGCCAGGAGTTGATGTGTCCTTGTGCCAAGGTCACAGCGACCACACAGACCTCCATGACCCACACCTAGGTTCTAGGTGGGTACCGCAGTACTGGGGGTTTGTCCCAGACCAAAAGGTCTTATGTGGTCATGAAAGTATCGGGACATCTAATTCTCCCCTCCTGTCCAGTCAAACTTCAAATATAAAACAAGCCTGAAGCCACCTGTTCTTCCTCTATAACATTAAATGTCACTTCTGTCCAACACCCTCTGCCAAGTGAATCTCACGGCTGTCGCCTCTACGTTACAGCACAGTTCCTCTCACTCAGGTCTAAACTGTGACAGCTCCCTGAGGCAGGTGATGCCCTACTTTGCACACTGGGTGCCCTGTCTGCCCTGCCCCGGCCTCAGGAGAGTCAGCCCTAGGTTTGAGTTTACGACATGCCTCCAGGTTACTCACAAGGCTTCCCTGGATACCCAACAGTATACACTCCCACCTCTCAAAGAGAAGGACCCGCCCAACGGCTCCCAGGGTGGCCAAGGTGACCTGGGCCTCTTCCTCACAGCAGAGGCAACCCTGGCACCAGGACTTGTCCCTCACTGTCATTTCCCACCTTGTATGTAACCCCAAACTAGAAGTAAGGCGCAGCCTGTGTGTCCCAACGGCACTGGCGCGCCACTCACTCACCTTTGTTTGGAATCTTTAATGTAGGTGTCAATGAGGAGGCTGTACATTTCGGAATGGATGTTTTCCATGGCGATCTGGAAGCCGTAGAAACAGCGGGCTTCAGTAATCTGCACTTCTTGGCTAAAGCGCTCCACCTAATGGAAAAACTGAACTTCAGCCGGAGGAAAATCACCACAGCAGCTGCTGGTGGCTTCGGCCCTTGGGCCCTCGCTCAGGTCCAAGGCCGCACACTGTGGTGAGGCTGGACCTGCCGGAGCAGCTCCCAGGGCAGGGCACAAACCCTATTCCACAGGCTTCTGCGGGCCCATCACTGCGAGGCTTTCCCACCTCCACCGCAAAGGCCACTCACAGAAGGACCTCCGGTGGTGCAGCCCAAGCCCAAGAGCAGAGCCTTGTGGTGAGTGAAAGGAGACTGGGGCACTCACCAAGTTTTCATTGACGATGCCATCACTGGCTGCAAAGAAAGCCAAGACGTGGGAGATAAAGTACCGCTCCTCTTCCTTCAGGGTTTCCCAGTGCTGGATGTCCTTGGAGAGGTCCACCTGGGGGTTCAAGTCCGCAGGGGTCAGGCAGGGCCTCCCGCCCACAAGCCAGTTTCATTAATGAGAGTCCAGGGGGCCACAGCCGCCAGGGCCGGCTGCTCGGGAGCTGGGGGCGAGAGGGGGTTACCTCCTCGGCTGTCCAAAAGGAGGCCTCCGCCTTCTTATACATCTGCCAGATGTCGTGGTACTGGATGGGGAAGACCACAAAGCGGCGGGGGTTTTCCCTCAGGAGCGGCTCGGCCTCTCGGCTGGGGACAGGCACCTTGGTTGTCTGCCAGGAGGGCGGGGAGAAGGCCGGAAGCTCAGCGCCGGGCACGCCGCAGTCGGCACATCGGCGCACCCCGGGCGCGCCCGCGCAGCAGCCCCCC